ACCAGCTCTGGACATTGCAGCAAATGGTCTGTAACAATCAGGAACCTGAAGGAAGAAAGGAAAGTGTTACTGGTGCTACAAAAGCAGCATCTACATTTATTCCAAATAGTGCTGCTTAGTTTTACTTGTACATGAATGGGTGACTTGCTTTTGCTCCTGTTTGCTAAAAGACATAGCCACAAAATAATTCTGTATTGTTCTGCAGTTTTTCCTAAGACAGTGAGGACCATTTCCCATCAGTTCAGCACACTTTTACTCGTAGGCTAGAAAGGAAGCTTATCAGTCTTTGGTCAGTAACACAAAAGGCACACCACAATTCAAACAATAAACCCCTCATCCAATCCTTTATGCATCTCAGTGCTGACCAAAGGTCGAGACTGAAAACTATTATTCTACTCATCACAACATCACTTTTAAGCCCAAACAGTCAAAAAAGTGGCCAAATTATTTCTTTTTTTTAAACTTAATTTGATTTTTTATTTATTTTTTAATCCAACAAACCATCAAAGCAAACAGCCTCTCTCAAAAAGAATCCATCCAGAACTGACAACAGCCTATTCTTTCTTCTTAATACTTTCTCTGGAAAGTGTGGCCAGCCTGCTCTTGTGCCAGTGCCAGTATTTACACCCACAGCAGTCCATAGCAGATGACTGTCCTTTAATTTCAACCCAGACTCGTACTCTCAGTACGATGGGAGAAAACAAAGTAGGTAAAGATATTTATCTCTTCAAATTACACTCCTAAGAGCACTGGCAGTGCCATTTATTCCTCACAGGTACACGCAAACTAAATGATGTATTTTTAAAGCAGCACATCTGGCTATTAAATACACAGTAATGACAGGTCAAGTCTCAGAGCATCCTCTCAGCTGATGGGGCCACAGAAAGAACAGCTAAAATAACTCAAACCAAGCGATTTCAATACTGCCTCCACCTCCTCCCTAGCTTTCCCTTTGTTGAAAGCCTTTCTTTTGTGCGTAACCCACTACACAGCTACCAGGCAGATCACACAGGAGCCTTCCAGCTGCAACAAAGTACTTTTTAGACAAGTGGGGAAATAGGAGAAGGAGAGGTCCAAAAGATTAATAGCTACTCCATTTCTAACAGTAACCGTGGACTGAGCCAGCCCTGGCTCAGTTACTGTAAATGACATTTTCAGAGAGGGAAGGAGAAAAACTGTTTAATGCTGTGCTTTTTTTTTTTTTACTTATATTTGTACATTAACAAATGGGAAAAAAAAAAACAGCAGAGGAATAGGGAATCAAAATTGGCATGCTGGGGAGCACAGAAATAATTCAAGAGTTTCTGAACACAAGTTTGACAAAACAAGGCTCCCCCAAAATCAGGACCACAAACGTGCTTCACCCAAGCTGCTGTCACACCCGAGCAGAGTCACCAGCAGAGCAGTCCAGGGCAATGCTCCCACCATCCTGAGCCAACAACTCACAGCCACCCACCCTAAACCTTCCCAGTGGTAACACCTGACCTTATTTTTCAGATTTAAGTAGGAGCACAGGCTTAGTCTGGAGCTGTGAAAGGAAGCAGCACAACCCTCCACACCGTGCAGAACACTCCACTTGGCCTCAGTGTACAAATTCCAGCTGACAATGCAGCAAAGTGCAAGTGCATTCAAAGAGACAGCCTGAAGCCCCATTCTTTTTTTTCCGTGGTAGAGACTATGAATTAAAATCTTAATTTTCAGGTTTAACGTGACTTTGAGGAAACCTTCTTGAAATCTGCCTCGTAATTAAAAAGTGACCCATAATTACCACGAAAAAGACCTAATGCTCCCAGATGCACATCCCTGGTCACTCCGGCAAAGGAGAAGGGCCAGGGTTCAGTCATTCCTTGGCTCTACACTCCTGTATTTACACACATTTTTCACATTCACTAGAACTCTACTGCTTGAGGAGCTTGCAGTATTTCAGACTTAAGTTTCTGCTTCTTACCCTTTTGATTTCATGACATGATGTAACACCTCAGAAAAGAGAACTGTGGCTGCCCCATCCCTGGAAGTGTCCAAGGCCAGGTTTGGTGGGGCTTGGAGCAACCTGGGCTAATGGAAGGCGTCCCTGCCCAGGGCAGGACTTGGAAGCAGGTACTCTTTAAGGTCCTTTCCAACCCAAACCATTCTGGGATTCTATGAAGCGTCTGCTTCTGTATTTAAATGTCTTTTTTACCTTATCCACATCCTGCAATACTGCATCACAAAGAATAGAGCATGAGCCCATTTTACAGGAGTATCACCAAGAGATAACAGAAAAACTATTAGAGGAGAAAAGCACTTCCAGCTCTTTCTACCACGCCCAGAAATTTTGGAGGTAGCTAAGCAAGGATGCAGCCAACTCACTCCAGTGTCTTCAGTCTCAGCTCTGTTTTTCATTTGGGGCAGGGGAAAAGAGGATGAAAAGTAAGCCCATCCACAGCTCTGAAATAAAGACATTGAGTTTTGGGTTACTGACTGAACATGGCATTTCAGATGCACACAAAAGGCTTTGGGAGGAGATCGAAACTCTCTTTGGGGGCCAACAGCAGAACCACTGGGATAAACTGAGGACCACTGTAATTTAGCGAAGGAAATGGTGAAAATTAAAGCTATTATACAAGGGTAACACAGGAACAAATGAACAGTGTTAAATCTGCCAATTTTCTTAACTTTCTAAAAAGTGTTTGGCCAAAATCCTAAAAAAATCCAGTGCTTCCACAGCAGATAAATACAGGAGGAGATGTTCAAAGGCTTTCTAACAGTACAAGGGCTGTATTGTACCAGACTGAAGTTGAGAAGCAGCCAAGACGACGTGGTATGAGCTGCATTTGCACTCAGTGTATTCCAAATGCCCACTAAGCTTGCTCCAATCCAGGCTGGGTGCAAGCAATCAGCTTCATCATCAAATGTCATGCTCCACATTAAGTTGATTTGATCCCATTAGCAAGTTTAGAGAACAGGCTCCTCAGTCTCAGAAAATGAGGAAGAAAACCCCCACAAGTGCTTTCAAAGTACGAAGAACTAGCCACAGCAATTCTCTACTTCATCAGCAACTTTCTCTTTCAATCTCAAAACCAAAAGCATTTTTCATCACCCTACAATAATGCCACTATCCAAAATATTTAGTAAGAAGTAAGTAGCCATCTTCTTACTGTAATTTAACGGACAAATGTAACAAATCATCCAAATTTTGAAGCAAAAACATAGGAGATTCAGATGGCCAACCTTTCAAAGCCTTATCACCAGCCTTTTTAGATGCTTAAAAAGCAATGTGCCTCATGAGGAGCTGTTTGGAACCAGAGCACATTTTAGAAGCAAAAGTAGATTTTGTCCTTGTGCAAGAAACCAACCCTTTAAAAAAAAATCTAAAAAATACAATTACAACTACAAAGTTATTTACTAACAAATGGAACATGTGTTGTCATAACATCTCTGTAAAGGAAGCGATTCACTCCAGTCCAACACCAGCACTTCTCACTCAAGAGAAGAATAAGGAAACCCACGCAAGGCTCAACCCTGTGTCACAACCCTCCCCTCCTGTGGGCTGTGCTCCAAGCACAGCACTGAACATCCTTCCATCTTCCAAAGGCATTCCCACAATGGAAGCATCCTGTCCACAGGCCATGGCAGTGGACATGGCAAGTTCAGATTATGTGCAGCAGTTCTCTGATTCAGAAGACACTCCCCATTCAATTTGATGCCCACCTCTGAAAGGCACTGAAAAAGGACTTATTTTTACTTATATGTGAAGTTGGAACAATTTTTTTCTGAATAGCTCCCAAGAAAAACTGGAAGATGATGAGCAATAGCCAATAGCACTTTGTGCTAAAAGCAGTTCCTGCTCCCCTCCCTCCACAATGCACACAAGAAGAAAGAGGTGACAAGATAATGAAACGTGTGAGGCTGGGCTTTGAAAGATTGAGCAGATCTGTGCCAATTCACTGCTACTGTAAACAGAATGTAGAAGCTGCTCAGATCTCTACAATTAAGGAAACTTTTCTCAATTGTCAGTACTATTTAAAACCACAGTTGAACTTGGAACCTGCAGAGTAACTCCGACTTTCCTGGAATTAAAAAAGGAATTACTTTCTGGAGAGGAGAAGGAGGGGTTGGGGGACATCCTAAACTGCCCAAAAGAAGAAACAAACCTTCCTTCCCAAGCCAAACAGCTGACCACACTCTTAATATCACTCTTCTGGAAGCCAGAAGGCACATTATGCCTCTTACTTTAAAATGGAGGATTTTTCTTCCTTGCTCTTCAGGAATCAAAAATACCACCTGATTTTCTTTTCCTTATTAGCTACACTGCCCCACCCACACACTTGGAAAAACTGATGACACAAGGTATACTCTCATCTCTAACGGAGGCACCAAAGTATTTCTAAAATAAACAGCTTTCAGGATACACATTGGTCTCGGTTAGGATAAATTATAATGTAATTTGGTACTACTTTTTCCTAATTATTTTACAAAACACATATGTTTGCAGGTCCAATATTCTAAAATAGATCTGACATGGCATTCTGTGCTGATTTCTCTTCTAAATACAGCACCTTCCAAACTGTGTGACACACTGTGCTGCTGCTGATTAACACAAGCCCCAGAGGGAGTGGAAGTGGATGTCTGGGGAAACACAGAACAAATACCTTTTAAAGGCTCCGTGATTTCCCAGAGCCTAAGGCATAGCTCTCTATATATTTAAGAAACAGCTTCGACTGAAAAATCAAATAAAAGGGCAGCGCTCGGCAAACCTTTTCAGCACATTGCACCTTGGGAAGAAAGAGAGGGAGTTTGTTACAGAGGGCTCTCCAGGCCTGGTAGAAATCCCACAGAAAGTGGAAGTAGGGAATACATTTCAGTTACTGAACAGTGTATTCCAGCTCTTTTTCCTAAAGGAAGGATGTGTCCAACTCCCTGACAGCATGTTGTAAAGCAGCAGCTGCTGAAGGCAAGCAGCACAGGAAAAGGGAATTACCTTACAGAGTAAGGATGTTTGCTTATGTGTTTAAGATATTTAAACATTAACACATTTAACTGTTGGAGCAAGTCCAGAGGAAGTCACGGAGTTGATAAGGGGACTAGAGCAGCTCTCCTATGGAGACAGGCTGGGAGAGTTGAGACTGTTCAGCCTGGAAGGGAGAAGGTTGAGTGGAGACCTCACAGCACCTTCCAGGATCTGAAAGGATCCTACAGGGAAGCTGGAGAGGGACTGTTCACCAGGAACTGGAGTGACAGGACCAGGGGAACAGCTTCCCGCTGACAGAGAATAGGATTAGATGGGATATTAGGAAGAAATTCTGCCCTGTGAAGGTGGGGAGACCTTGGCACAGGTTGCCCAGAGAAGCTGTGGCTGCCCCATCCCTGGAAGTGTCCAAGGTCAAGTTGGACAGGACTTGGAGCAACCTGGGCTAGTGGAAGGTGTCCCTGCCCATGGCACGGGGTGGGACTAGATAAGCATTACAGTGCCTTCCAACCCAAACCATCCCATGATTCTGTATGTTCAACTCGGTACGTCAGCAGCTCAGAATTAAATCCACATATCATTAGAGACACATTGGAAAGATGGAAGATACAGAGAAAATGAAGTAAGCCCTTGGAAAACCTGCTCATCCCTTTGAACAGAAATGTCAGATGAAGAGAGGGGTGGAGGAAACAGCTACAAGATCATAGTTGAAGAGACAGATCTGCTGCTTTTGGGGACTAAGTAACACCAAAAGAAAATGGAGAAAAAAAAAAAGGTCTCAAGAGGGTGGAAACAACAGAAGTAAGAGGTTTAAAAACTTCCCATGTGCAAGGAAGCATTTTAGAGGGAACGCTAATCCCAGATCTGATCATGAGCAGAGCAAGTTGGAAGCAATAACAGATCATTAGCTGCCCCTGGAAGGGAGATAAGAGAAACACAGTATTAGAAGAACAAATGAAGGCGAAGACAGGGGGAACAGGTATAACATGAACGACAAAAAGGCTCTAGAACAACTAAGATTCAGAAAAATCAGCCCCTTTAGAGCAAGGAATCTTTCCCTTTCAAGGCAATGCTGTTTGAATACCTGCCCAATGTTTGATATTACACTGGTGCATGCACCTTTTGGGTTAGATTTTGCACTTGTGAATGCACCTGACCTGTGTTGACTTGAAAACAGGGCCAACATTCCTGAAAGATTTCCATTTATAATTCAGACTGCACAAACTGCCAAGAAACATACTACAAACTCATCACTTTTTCTTTCAATTGGAAAACCTGATAATGAGCTCTGAGACTTTACGAGCCAATAAAGTACTAGGAAAGAAAACCAAATGTATTATTTTCTTAAGGGCTGGAAGAAATTCTATTGCTTTTCCCCATACAAGGAACTGAGCATTCTGACAGGAATCAGAGGGCAAACTTTCTGCAACCGCCTTATGGCAGGGCCAGGGTTACTCTTCCCACTCCTCTCTTGACCTTCATCAGGGTCTTTTATCTTGTATAAAACTTTACCCCTTTTCAACTTGAAGACTACTCTGAAGAGAGTTTCCCACCCACATCAAACATCCACAGTGGAGGTAACACATTTTCATCATAACATCCACAGAATGCACATAAAACTGGAGAGATCACGAAACTGGATCCCTCAGCATTCATTTTGATGCTGCATTTATTCTCTAATTACCATCAAAACATAAATTTACCACTACAGCTTTCATATCTCAGTCAAAACACATTTCAGCCTATCAATACATAAAGAAAACTAAGGATTATCAAGATTAATCATCTGAAAACCAACCCTTCTGTTACTGCAAATGACAAAGCTAGACTTAGCTTGCCACTTCTGCAATAGAAGTCTCACCACTTGACCCTGAAATTTAATTTGCTTTCTGAAAACTATTTATGTCCTAAGCAAATTGACCTTGTCATAAAAAAGCCCAGCCACAAACAAATTTAAAGTAATTTTTTCAATACAAAAGCAAACTATAAAGCGACATTTGATTTTCATTCAATCATCTTAACTCTGTTTAGAGACTTTCCAAACAACTACTAAATCCCCGACAATTCTTCCTAATTAAATTTTGAATTTAAACATGACCTTCAAAAGAATACTACAAAAACATACAAACCATTTTTTTTTCCCCTGGGAATACATCACGTAACAACGAGCTGAATGCGTATCCTTGCTGTGCAGAGCAGAACATTTACCAAATGCATAACTGACAACAACATTTACAAGAATGGTCATTAGCAAAAAAAAAAAAAACCCCACAACAGCTCAGCAGAATAAAACCATTGGTTAGGTGCCTTAAAGCATGAAAATAAAGATTCACAAACAAAACTTGTTCTGTTTTGGTATAGAAAGGATGGCATGTTGCACTAGACAACAGATCTGTTAACACAGAAAAAAATAAGAAAACCCCCAGGTTTTGTGTGGCAATCCCAAGCACTACTCATACAAGTCTTCCTTTTCTGTGCTAACTTTAAAAAACCTCCACAGACCAGCACACACATAGAAATTAGTTTACATTCTAGAGCCCTGTTACATTAAAAAAAAAAAAAAAAATAGATCATGATTTGAGAATTCTCTTATTCTGTATATCCTCAACAAAAAATGTACCCTTATTTTAGCAACATTCAAAACAGCCACTGAAACGATCATGAAAATTTTCTCTGTACTAAGTGGCTAATTCCTAAATATATCTTCATTTACCACTTAGCAGTGACACAACTGTAGACATTTGAACAGAGAGATTTACACCAGGAAAAAACAGCTCTGAAGATACATACGACCACTCAGACTCCAGCTGCTCTCTGTAGACTCTCAGGACGTGCAGAGCCACAGCCAAGCTCCCGGGATCCAGCAGCTCTCCCACCTTCTCCGAGTCCAGGCAGGTGAACAGGACCATGCAGCAATAGGCAACAACCTTCCTGTCACTGTGCGCCAGGCATGTCCTTCCAGAGAAAGCAAAGAGGGAAGAGCACGGTAAATGAGCTGGGACAAACAGGCCAGCGACACTCAGGCCACTGAGCTGCTCTCACAGACAACCACGAGTCTGTCTCTGCTTGGGAGGGACAGAATGCACCCACAGCGAAAAACACCCCAAGTCCCAGCTGAAGGTCAAACTTGACAGGAAATTTTTAAAAATTCATGCTAAATTAGAACTAACTGAAGAGCTAGAAATGGGGGGAAACAATAATAAACTGTTTCTCTGTTTATAAGGTTTCTACACCCAGTGCTGATAAACAGGCTTCAAAAACCCACTCAGAGCAATTATCAAGTCGAATGGAAGTGACTTTGTCATCGGTTCACTATGAAAAGTCTGGGCAAACACATCAACTACACTGCCATGTGTCTGCACAGAGGAGTTTACATAACATTTCATCACACAAACATCACGAAACCTCCAGGAAGATATTCTGGCGAGTTTTGGAGGGGGACAAAAGGATTGGAAGACACAACGATTAACAGACTTTTGTAAATTCCGCGTGACCAGCAATACTGAAAGGTCTGCACAGGAGTGAGAAAAGAAAACGCTGCCTCCTTGGAAATGAGTGCAACTGCTTCAAAACACATCTGAAATAAAGCTCATTTCTAAAGCTCGTCATTCAAAATAGAGTTTTCTTCCAGTTCACTAAATTAAATCAATTTACGGTTAGTGTAGAACAAGCAGGTTTTGAGAGGTCCTGACCCCTGCGGTTGACTAACAAAAAAACATCTACAGGATATGGTCTCAACCATCCCCCTCCTCACCAAAGTTGTTTTTCAGAGTTTCATGGCGCAAAGGGCACAGCCATCATGTCCAAGAGATTTGAATACAACCACAGAAATGACACCAGGAGAAAACCCGCATCCATGCTTACAAGAAAAGATCTGGGAAAGCACACTTCCAAAGGCTATTCTGGGAATCTCCATTTCCTGCTGCAATGTTTCCAAGAAACTGGAGACTACAACGAAGAGCTGAAAAAAAAAAAGAACCAGAAAATAATATTAGCAGGAATTCAAAGCAACACTAATCTATTTCATATAAATGACATTTTACAGACACACAGTGCAGAATCTTCTCCACGAAGATTCAGGTGCAGGATTTCACTGCCACTGTACATAAATATTTGCATTTTCTCTTCTAATGCAAATATTTTACAAAGTGTTTTAGAATTATACGCAGGACTTGAGTATTAAAGACTGGCAACTGGTGATGACAAGAACTAACTGATAGTTCCTTGCTACTCACACTACATTCTGTTTAGCTGGTCAAATCATTAAAGAATATGACGATGTGCTCAATACTTGCTAATTTCTACCCCAGAAAAATCAAAGCCAGCACTCCAAGTTACTTTGCCTCCAATTTTAACACTGACTTCAATATGGCAGATTTCTGCTCTTACTACAAGGGATTAATTCTAGCCTCCTCTCAATAAAGGTTTAAATACGGGCAGATATTTCACCACACAAGTTAATATCCTAGAGCAGCCAAAAGGTGTAAATTCACCAAAAAAAGAAAAGCATGAACCCACAGACCTCACAAAATTAAAACACTTTTGTTGGCCCTACTGGCAGCTCTCAATAGCCTGGCCCTTGTTAACAGGCTGGCAAAGAAACTTCAAATTAAATGTTCAAATGCAGTTTAAGAGATATTACAAATATCAGCCTATTACAGATGGAGGTGGCTGACATTGCCAGGTTCTGCAAATCTAAAATTAGGTCTCTTGGAAGGGTATTGTGCCAGCTGGCAGCCAGATTTCCTACAGAAGTCTGGGCATACGTTCCCTTGGGAAAAACAAAGCAAGTCAAAAATGAGGTCACTGGGGCTTAGGGAATAGTAACTTTTCCTGCCATATAAATATATAGATTTTTAAGGCCAAAATATCTATGTCTTATCCATAATGCACTTTGAATCATATTCCCCTCTAGCTCTGAGGATCCCTGTTCTCTCCCTGCACATCTGCAGCGTTTTATTATTTCCTGCTCGTCCCTGCGCTTCCGCTTTTCCTGCCCATCTGGTTCCCACCCTGCTGACTTAGGAGTTTTCTGAGGGACAAGCACAGGCACACCAGAGGACACTTTATGGGAAAAAAAAACCAAAAAGGCAGCAAATCCTAGGAACAAGATATTGCTTCCCTTGGGGAATTCCTTACCCACACTGTGAGGAGAAAGGCCTCCCAAGGATAAAGGAGGTTGGCTGATTATACCCAGTCTTTCCCTGGAATTTGCTTGACCTTTTCCAGCTATGAATTACCCTTAGAGATTAGACATTAGAGATTAGTCTGTCCAAAAACTAAAACAGACTAGGGAAAAAGTACTACAGATCTTTTAAAGTTACCATTCTTACTGCACAGACGGCGCTTTTCTCCTCTGCAAAAACTTCATCACCATAAAATCATAGAATCCTGTAATCATTACGTGGAAAAGACCTTTAAGATCATCAAGTCCAACCATCAACCCAGCACCATCATGGTTTCACTATAAATCATGTCCTCAGGTGCCACACCCACACGTTTTCTGAACACTTCCAAGGATGGTGACTCCACCGCTTCTCTGGTGGAGTCACTTCCAATGCTTGACAATCCTTTCCAGGAAGAAATGTTCCCTGATATCAAATCTGAACCTGCCCCGCACAACTTAAGGCCATTTCCTTCCGTGGTCTTTCCATGTCCTTAGAGCAAAAGCAAGAAAATCTAGAAGCCGATGAAGACAGCCTTCCAGCTTTCCATCTGCTCAATGTGCTTTCTGAAAAGGAGAGGAAAACAGAAAAGAAAGAAAAAGAAAAAAAAACCTACAAAACTATTTCAGTTTTCCCATGAAAATGTACAGATCTTTATGAAGTTAAAAGCCATTACCAAACACACTGACTTAAATAATTCTGTAGCTATCAGCACAGCTAAATTTTAATTGAAAAAATGTTACTCTGTGTGTGGTCAACAGGACTATTTTTAACCTGACAGTCAACCACTGGGAAATTACATGTACTAAGATGTAACTTCTGATACACACGTGGACCCTAGAGCTGAAGAGATTTTCACCCTCAGTGAGACTTCAATGGTTCCTGTAAAAGAAGGGTGCTCTTTGGCAAATGCAAATACACAGAATGCACCTTTGCCTTCTCAACCAGCCTGCAGTGGGTTATGGACACTTCTCTAAGTTCTGCAAAAACAATTTCTTTGTACAGCGGTGCAAGGGGTACAAGTGGAAACACTGACTCTTTAGCTGATGAATATTGGTAGCTAAACGTTTGCCTACATGTAAATTGATCTTTTAGAGTCACTCCAGGCCACCCGTGCAAGAGGTGAGGCAGCTGATACTCAATGGTCCTGCAGGAGGATGGTTTAAATGCACTGTGGCAGTTCAGTACCTTCAGCATCACAGCTCCCTCTGTTCCTTGCAGTCCCTTATGATGACACAACAGATGAAACAGGCTCTATAGCATGCTTTTCATTTAATTATTAGCTTGAAATTATATCATTTGATAACTATATTATATGGTCTGAGGAACACAGAATCGCAGGCTGGATCAGGCAGGAAGGGACCACAGTGGCTCATCTGGTGCCACCTCCCTGCTCCAGCAGGGCCATCCCAGAGCACATGGCACAGGATTGTGTCCAGATGGTTCTGGAATATCCCCAGTGAGGAGACTCCACACCCTCTCTGTTCAGTGCTGGGTCACTGCCCAGCAAAGAAGTTCTTTCTCACCTCCAGGTGGAACTTCCTGGGCATCAGTTCCTGCCCGTTGCTCTTGTGCCATTGCTGGGCCCCCCTGAACAGAGCCAGGTCCATCCTCTGCCCCCTCCCTGCAGCCCCTGACACTCACTGGGGAGGGCCCCTCTCAGTGTCTCCTCTGGAGGCTGAACAGCCCCAGCTCCCTCAGCATTTTCTGCTCCCAGAGATGCTCCAGTCCCCTCATCATCTCCAGCCTCTGCTGGACCCACTCCATGAATCTCCACAGGCCTGACCTGTGTCTTTCTCCTCACAAAGGCATTATTTCCCACAGTGTCATTTGCAGAATTGGATTTTGTATTAGATTAAAACTTAATGCCCGAAGTTCTTAGAACAAAGACTTTAGGCATTAGGTTTTTGAAATACAATACACTGTTTCCTTCTGCTGGAACAGCAGCCCTTGAACTTGCTCACCAATCACTTCGGAAAACCTTGACAGCAACTGCAGAGACTTAAAACAGGCCTAAGAGATTTCCATTCTTTTTCTTTGGGGCAGACAGCACAGTGATTGCTGTGATCCTCTGCCTTTACTGCAATTACAAAACAAATAGAAATATAAAATAAATCCAACCAAAGCTGTACAGCATCACTGGGCAGACTGCACACATAAGGCCTGCGAACCTGCATCTCTCATGCAATGCTCTGCTAATCACTAACAGGCAGGAAGGGCAGAGCTGGAGTGCCCTCTTTGCACAGGGCAGGCACTGAGGCTGACAAGGACCTGGAGCACATCCCGCTCTGCCAAGTGCCCTCCAGACCACCTCTGCTTGTTTGTAAACAGTGCAGAATGCTCTGTGATACACTGCCACCCCTGGGAAAATAAAACCTCCAACTCAGCAGAAGGTGTAGACCTCTATTACTACAAAATTTGAGTTTCCACCACTATCATCCGGTCATTGACTTGTTTCCTTGTGGCTGCAAGTTAAAGCAACTTCCAGTCATAAAAAGAGTTATTTGCCTCTTCACCACCATGAATCATACCACAAATACTGATGAAAATGTATTTTCCTTGGAAAACAGTCTGTCTAGACTACTCGAATTGAATGTCCAATACATATATGGGCTCTGCCATTTAACGTTATTAAAGCAATGCTCAGTATTTTATTTCTGTAAATAAAATGAATGTCTAGCTACCGATTTGATTTCTGCCTTGATCTTCCTGCACTTGCTGCAGTGCAGACTAGTAACCCACTTTTACCATCTGTGGAATACCAGGAATGTTGTGTTTAATAAGTTTCTGCTCCCACTCCTCATCTACTCCACCTCCAAAACAAAGTCGGACTCTTAATTTTTTTCTTTCCTGCCAGAAGTGCCAACTCTAGTATTACCAGAACATTCCAAGCACTAACTAGACAACCCCCCTGTTCTTGGAAGATAAACGTCTAGGCAGAATATCGACACTGTGTTCTGACTGAACAGGAGAATTTGATTCAAAGGCAAGTGAAATCCCCACCGCACTATCAGGAACATGGAGTTACAGATGAATCAGAAGAGAGCTGGAAGAAACCATCAGACCACGCATCAAATCAGCCTCTGATGCAAATTAAGTTCCAATGAAGTCTCACAATGGGAGACTCAAATAAATTTATTTGTGCATTCACTAGGAAAGAAAAGAGTCAGTTTGACAGACCACTGAGGACATGAAGTTTACACTGACTGATTCAAACAGCATTAGCAAGGCTTATTAAATACAGTAATAGGACCATTTTCTTTATCTCCTGGTATTTTAATTGCATCATTTTGTTTTTAGAAAGTAAACATAAGTGTTCTCATTTCTTTAATAAATTAACTACTAAAATCTAAAGGTATATGAAATGGGACTCCTATTACATCCCCACAAGCAGCAAAAACACATGCCTGAGATTAGTTTCCTATGTAAAGTACAACGCCTCTAAGTGCTTGCAGACTTGGAACTGTATCTATAAGCTTCCTGCACACATTAGCATGGAAATCTTGTTCTTGAATCAGCCTAAAAGCTGAGCCTAAACCTAACAGACAGTGTCTCTTTAAAGACCTTGCTGTAGCAAAATCAGCAAGTTTGAAGTACTGGGGAGTCTCAACCTGAGCTTAAACCATGTCAGGAAACCAAGAAAAATAACAAGAAGGACTGGCCACCCACTATGCATTACTCGTGGTGTCTGACCCTATGACACACTCCTACATGAGACCTTGTACAGGTCTGAAAAAAAAAAAAAGTGAAAAAAGGAAATTATTAACACGTAAAATACTAACCAAGATTATGAGCA